GCATTGTATGTGTTGAAACTCCCGTCACTCATGACGGTGTCGAAATGATTCACAGGCAGCCATGCCAGAGAGGCATTAGGTGTACAGTCCTTCAGGGAACAGTCAGAGGCAGAGAATTTGCAATGGAAATTCCTGAACCAATACTGAGTGAGGAAAGTGTCTTCTGGATATTTGAAGGGAGTAGCTGTTTGGATAAACTTATTAAAACCAGAAATCTCCTCATGGTGGGGTGAAAAAATGAGAGTCCCATGGAATGAGTCAAGGATGAAATTTCTCCCGGCAAGGTCTGCGTGCCACTGTGAGTTAGTGACCCAGACTCTCCATGTCACTAAATGTAGCCCTATCTGCTGGTTTATGTGATTCAGACTATCGGTGTCATAATAAATGATTACCACATTTACTGGTGATATTTCTGTGGTCAGGAAATTTTGGAGATTTGTAATTGAGAGGTACGATACGAGAGAATTTGAGATCATTTCTACAAATGCGATGCATGCTCCTTTCCTGTCCATCTCTGCCCTCACTTCTGAGAGAAACTGAAGGCCCTTCTGGCCTTCTGTGATGAGCAGGCCCACCCAGGTCCAGCGGAAATGAAGCATCAAGGAGACCATGCCAAGGGCCAGAGATGCCTCCTGTGGGGCCACCTGATAGAGGGAGGGAAACTGGCCATTGTCACAGAACTCGGGATCGTAAGCGCCAAAGGTGAGCTGGAAGGAAAGAGAATTGGACGTTATGCGAAGAAACGACATCAAGCGCAGGCTTACACTAAAGGGTGTCATGAAGCAGCTGAAATACAGGGGGAAATACAGACACAAAGCTGAACTGTAGGAGGAGATACTCATTATTCCCATCTATTTAATCATCTGACCTCATAAGAGTCTTGCTTTAGAAGATAATTGAGCAGACTCTGAGCTCAAGAAATTTTTTTTTTTTTTATGGCAAGAATGTTTTGAATTGGTTTCACTATTTTTTTAATTGTGTGTGAAATATACAAACACTGTTTTAATTATGTGATTTTAAACAAATCACTCCAAGTCTTGCTATCAAGAAATCTTTAACTTCCTCTCTCCTGCCTTTCTGATGCACGTAAAGAAAATGTAGGCAATCAATGTGCTTCAGTGCATCACACTTTGAGGCTGTACAATTTGTGTGATGCACAAACACAGCCCATCCGTTCACCATCCTTCAGAGCCGAACCTGAAACTATCAACTAATGTGGCATGATTTTATCCTTCCCTATTTACCTGGCTCACCTGTGGAAATTTGTAGAGTTCCAGCAATGGTCCAATTTGAGAAGAAACTGCCCATGGTGATCCTGTTAGTAATGCTATGGACTTAGTCCTGGCCCCGCAGCCATAGTTAGGTGTCCCATTTTGTCCTGTGTACAAAATGAGGAAACTCTCTAATAACTTCCAGTAACTGTAAAGTAAGTTATGGAACTCATATCCCAGAGATATGTTGGGTAAAAGATGAGGATTCCTGTTGATCTCTTCAATGGCAAAAATGAAGGCTAGAACATTCTGGTAATTGTTGGGCATAAGCCTGCAAAGAGAGCAAAGTAGTTCTTAGAGGAAAGACTCAGTACATGATTGCATTCCAATCCGGAACAGTAGCACCTATTAACTGAATGCTGTGTCTCTTCCCCGATCCACATCCTAAGAGCCTGAACCTGAATGTGCTGGCTTTAGGGTTATTGGTGAGAGCTGACTAGTGTTAAATTGGATTATGTCTGTGGATTTATCATGGATGAGATTAATGTCCTTACAATAGACCAAAGAGAACGTGCTTCCTGTGTCTGTCACATGAGAACGTATAGCCATGACTTCCACACATACACCACCAATCAGATGCTCTCAATTGCTTACCCTGAACAATTTTTAAAAAAGAAAGAAATCATGTTTTAGACTTGCAGTCTGTGGTACATTTTAACTTAACATTCTGAGTTAAGACAATATTCTATGTCAACACAAACACTCAGAAATTGTAATATATTTCTGCAAGATCTGGTGCTTACAAGGTCTTAGAATTTCTACCAAGCAAATTACATAACACAGGGCCTAACAGGTGTTTACTAACTTCCATCTAAACAGAGGAAAATTATTCCAATTACAAAGAAAAGTGCAGCAAACGGGAAAGCATGAGATATTTGTGGTGGGCTTCTTATACATTGTCTATTATGCAGAACTAAAATAATCTCACACATTAATGTGCCAATAAGTGCTTTGTATTTGTGATATCTCCAGGAAGTTGAAATACCAGGTGAGGGGAGCAATAGTGCTAAATGAAGAGTGTGAAGAGTGCAGACACGCAGAACACAATGACACCTGCGGGTGAGTGCGGTGCAGCAGAAGGCTGGCTCTGCCATCACGGAAGCCCAAGTGGCTGCTGTCACCTTCAGAGCTTGACAGAAAAAGAAGCCTTGAAAACACAAAGACAACTGGAGCAGAAGTGAAGGTCAGGTGAAGTGAAAACTCTTAGGATACTAAGAGGTGCAGCACTGTACATACATCATCCTTTTCACATTAAAAAGAGAAAAATAATTTCAATGCAAAATTTAACATCTGTAGCAGTGCTTACCCTAAACAGTCCTTGTGCTCCACATTTTCCTACATCTTGAAAGTGATCTCCCAGTAAATGATACTGCATTATTATTGCCTGATATTTGATTTTGCAAGACTAACACAGACTCGCTCTGATTGTCTTCTGTGTTGAGGTGAGGCTTGGTCAACAGCCTAGTTCCCATGCACGCCTGTTTGATGGAGAAGAATGTGTATTCTTTTCTTTTTGCACTGATGCAAACGGACCCTAGGGACCCTCCTGCTATGCAAGTTCTGGCACATCCCTGCTCAGAATATGAATTTTTCAGTTGTGGCCTACAGCGATTCATATGTGTCTATTAAATAAGACTTGCTAATGTAACTTT